GAATTTTGTAAAAAGTGTCAATGTAAAGTTGTAAAAATGTGATATAGTAGTGCACTTTTTATATATTTCGCATGCACATGATAAAAGTGCATTTTGTTTTGTAAAAATAGTTTGCATAGAACGTTAGAAAGTGTGATATAATAGTGCACTTTATGATAATTGTTAGTTACACCGTTGTATATTTATCTTTATTCTTATTAAAGTCATTTTTATTTAAAACATGTATGAAAGTGCACAAGTACATAAGTAAAGTGTATGTTAATGATAGATACAATGCAATGAAACTATATAAAAGTGAACTTGACAACTGTGCATATAAAATGCACTTAACTGTGTATATAAAATGAAGTTAGCATATAGTTTTGAATAAAAGTGCATCCATTTCATGTTGGGATGCAAATAAAAAATTAATGTTGATTTCATTGATAAATATTACATTTGAAAAGAAAAAGATCAACATCAGTATAAAAATTAATGCATGAATTATAGAATATGTTTTTGTTCAACATAATTATCTAAATTATACTACGTATGTTAGAGTATCCTAAATTTGGAAATAAATCAAGTAATATAATGTACTATTTATTATAATAAATGATGTTAATTATGGGAGTAATTACTCCGTATTAACTACTATACACTTTTTTAGGAGGATTTCCTATTGTAGTGCATCATGCGTGATATCCATCATGAAGAATTTGACCATGATGCCCTTAATCCATATTAAGTTCAACGGATGCCTTTTTAGAGGATGATTTCACCGCAAATCATGCATTCTCTATCCTAATTTCGAATCTTTCTTTGGCCATCGGATTGAAAAAAAGAAAGGTTGGATTTCATTCTTTTTTACTCTCCTAAGAGGGTGTTCTCACAGAAACTAACCCCTATATATATATATATATATATATATATATATATATATATATAAATATATATATATATATAAATATATATATATAGGGGTGAGATCACATACAAACTAGTCCTCCCATGCTAACCTACAAACCTTCACAAATTGTGCATCTTCACATAATTTGTACTGCATATTGAAGTTCAAAGTGTTGCATATTATTTGTATTGCATATTGAGGTTCAAAGTGTTGCATATTATTTCTATTGCATATTGAAGTTCACAGCGTGCATCTTTACATTATTTGTACTGCATATTGAAGTTCAAAGTGTTGCATATTATTGAGTTTGTAGGTTAGTATTTTAAGCATGGTTTGTATTTGATCTCTTGTCTATATATATATATATATATATATATATATATATATATATATATATATATATATATATATATATATATATATATATATATATATATGGAGCGGTTCCAGTAAGAACAGATATTGAGCGGTTCCATATATATATATATATAGAGAAATATTCAGGTCAGGTATACCTGACCACTGCCCCCGTCCGGCCTCCTCCATTTGGGGGTCTTCCCGATGGTATTTTTTGCTCAAATTTTTTGTGTAGGTTCCTCATTAAGTCTAGTTCATCCATACCAAATGTCAGCCAAAAATTCAATCGGGAAGGTCGTCAAATGATTTTTGCAAGTTAACTGGTCCGGAATATGTATTTTCCGGACCAGTTAACTTGCAAAAATCATTTGACGACCTTCCAGATTGAATTTTGAGCTGAAATTTGGTATGGACAAACTAGACTTGATGAGGAACATGCTCAAAAAATTTCATCAAAAAATTCCACCGGGAAGGTGCCCAAACGGGCTCGGCCGGACGGGGCAGCCCGTCAGGCCGGCCTGACATGAAGAGCACTCTATATATATATATATATATATATATATATATATATATATATATATGGAGCGGTTCCAGTAAGAACAGATCTTAGGAGAATAGTGAGAACGAATCTGGACCGTTGGATTGTATTAGGTGGAACCAAATTGTGCATTTGGTGAAACTGAAATGTGCATTAAATGATATTGAAATGTGCAAAATAAAAATTTAAACTCAAGTGTGCATTAGTTGAAACTAATATGTGCAAAAAAAAAGTACAAAAATAACATTACATCGTACTTTTTATTCTGCACGTTTCAGTTTCAACTAGTGCACATTTCAATTTCACGTAATGCACAATTCAACTGCACATAATGTCACTCTATCGTACCCTTTGTGATGCACATTTCAATTTCACCTAATGCACATTATAGTTTCATCTAATGCACACTGAATTTCACTTGAAGCAAATCTAACGGTCCAGATTCGTTCTCATTTCTCTCATAAGATTGTGTTCTTATGAGAATATTCCTGTCCGGAATTTACGGACAGGAACCCCCGTCCGGCCTCCTCCATTTGGGGGCTTTCCCGGTGGTATTTTTTGCTCAAAGTTTTTGTGTATGTTCCTCATCAAGTCTAGTTCATCCATACCAAATTTCAGCAAAAGATTCAATCGGGAAGGTCGTCAAATGATTTTTTCAAGTTAACTGGTCCGGAATATGTATTTTCCGGACCAGTTAACTTGCAAAAATAATTCCTGACAGCGCTCCAGCCAGGAAATTCCTAACCGGAAGATTACTCTCTCTCTCTCTATATATATATATATATATTATTTTATTAATAAAATATATTTTAAATATTTTTTTCATAAATCGAAAGAATCAGCCAACACAAACATTTCAGTCAGAAATTCATAAATTTTATCAGAATCAGCCAATTCAACCGATTTCAGTGTTACCAAAAAGGCTCTAAATGTATCAAACATGAGGACTGGGGCATTACCGCGCATAAGAAGAACATATAATCATACATAAGACATATACTCTGTATAATGGTATAAAATTACAACTAATAAAGTTAAAAAATAATAGTTAAATTATTTCATTTTTTCCCCAAATTATATTTTGGGGCCCATTCATAGATTGGTAGTTTCATGGGGTTTTGACTTCAATATATTACTAAAAAGTGGACAATTGATAAAAAAAAAGGGACATTTTGTTTTAATTTCCGAAAATATGACTAATAAACTTTAAACTTACAAAAATACCTCTAATTTGTAGTGATTTTATTTTATAGTTACACTACCGGGCACGGTGACATCCACCACAGTGACATCTATTACAGTGACCACCGGGCACCGCCACCGGTCGGTGAAACCGCCGGCGGCGGCCATAGTGACACCTCTGCAACGACATATTCACAGTGACACCTCCACAATTACTCCACCATAGTTACTTCTCCCCACCAGCCACAGTTACTCGTGTCGTAGTTACTCCGCTGACAACTGGTCACCATTGCATGTCAACGACTTCACCCTCAGTCCCCAACCCTAGCCCCCCAACCTTCAGGTCGTCACCACCGTCGAAACCTCCACTGCCACCCGTCAGTGCCATCCCACCACTAACTCACTCCCCCAGTTACCATCTCGCACCCCATACCCCCCGTTTCTGGCACTCAACGCCCCTCACCACCCCAAACCTAACCCTAGCTGTTGTAGGCCCCCACTACCCTAGATCTAACCTTAGCCGCCTCCGCCCAACATTTCTGCCTCCTAAAGCTAAATCTTAGCCACAGTCCGTCTGGTAATCTAACCACCGCACTGCTCATCGCCGAACTCTAGTTGCTGCCATCGCCTTCACAATGAGATTTGTTTGCTTTATCATTGCCGAAGAAGCAAAGAGAAAAAAAATCGCGACAAAGATGACAACTGATGTGGCCTGGGAGCTGCGCTGCTGCAGTGGGAGCGACGTTGGGCTGGTGGAGGCGGCAAACAGTGGCTATCTTCGCGGAGCGGCAATAGTCGGCAAGTGGCAAGTAATCGATCGCTGACCTGATAGATGGAAGCGATCTATCATGATTGAATTAAATAAAAGGTTGTGATTAAAAGTTCTCATTATAACAAGTTCTCATTTTAAGATGAGCTCTCACTAGAGTCATCCCCTACGTAGTACGGAGTAATATTTATAATTTCAATTATACTCTGTAAGTTGGACATATAATGACAAATGACCATAAAGTCTCAATAAATTACTCATTTAATGGATTCATAATTTGAGGTTTTATTTAAATAAATACAAATACACACATATATATATTATGAGCCTGCTCATGTATAGAGCCAGCCATGATAATAATGATATTTATTTATACTTCATCATACTTGATCAAATTTTTCACCAAACACGTAACTTTTGATTTGGCGCTTTAAATTGTGTAATAATATGAAAAAGTAAGGTTGACATTACTTTTCTGACTGTAATGGCTGAAGTTACTATAGAGGATCATTTTAACTATTTTTTCATATAATTTTTTCTTTATTTTATCAATAAATTATATTTTAAATATAATTTTTTCATAAATCAGTAGAATCAAGTAATTCAGCCACTTCAGCCAGAAGTTCAATGGTTTTCAGCAGAATCAACCAATACAGTTGATTTTGATACTACGAAATGGGCTCATAAGGGCATCTCCATTCATAGGATTATTAGAGGATTAAGTTGGTGATGTGGCAGATTATTTTTGAGATCATGATTGAGTGATAAAGATTATTTGGTGAGATTATATGACAAAATAATCCGGGATTGAAATATGAATCCGGATTATCTCAAGATTATTGTGAACCGAGTATTAATTAGGGAGTGCAGGACCCACAAAAGATCTAATTATTTTGAGATGATGAATGATGTAATTTACAAAGTGTGAGATTATTTTGAAAAAATCTAGGTGTCATAAAAAAATCTGATTATTTCAGTATCATGGATGTGGATGCTCTAATGGTTATCTGATTTCTTGCTAATTCTGGCTCCTTCCTTATATGGAACAAACAATTTACTCTTTTCTTTCTTACTATATGCATATTGCAACCACTGTAATAATAAATTTACTTCAGCTCTGTAACCTTTGCTTTTGGATCGCCTTAAATAGTTTTTCTCATTTCTTTTCGAGTTTCTGTGTATAGTTTGATTTTTCTCTTCAAAATAATTCTCAACCGCATATAATTTACCATAAATATCATGGAACTAACTAAGTTAGAGCATCCTCAAGAAAACTAGAAAACACATCATGAATGACCAGTTGAAGAACATCTTTTCTAAATTAAACCAAAAGAATGTGAAACCCCTTTTAAAAGTAATTAAATACTCAAGGTATATCAGCAAGCAAACCAAAGAAATAAAAGCAATATTGCAAATATATAGCAATCAAATGTTCTCTTTGTCAGTGTTGAAGCATTGTTGAGAATAAGAAGTGAAAACTGGTGGATTTCCTGCATTATGATTAATGCAGAGACTGGTTCTTGTTTTCTCAGCAAGTGGGGTTCTGCTTCTAGATATACAGCGAGAAGGCCGACATTCCTTGTTTCCTCCTCCTCCTCCTTCACCCGCCCTTATCGTCTTCAAATCGTCCCACAAATCAATCGTCTCAAACCTCCTGCTTAAGTCATTCACTCCCTCCTCCATACTTACTTGGTCTCCTCCTCTCTGGCATCTTCTCCCACTCTCATGGCTCAACTTCCCTTTCAGTCTCCTCTCATCTCTCTTGATCATACTTGTGGGTTCCATCCCTGTCCCGCTTCTCCTCTCGTGCTCCCCAAATCCAACTTTTCTCCACTTGCAAATTTTCTCCCTGTCAATCTCTACTGATCTTTGAGAGGGTAACATAGAAGTACTGTTTAGCCTCCTCAAAGATGGAGCACTTCTGGGCTGAGTTGATAAAGAAGAAGAAACTTTGGGCTTCTGATGTTTCCCATTATTCCCGCCTGGAGTTCGGTCTACGGAAGATTTGCTTCCCTTTCCTATCTGAAACTTCAAAAGTCCTTTTGCTTTTGGTAACACCACCTGCAATATAATGCATAGATGGATAGCAACATACTGATTAACAACACCATAAAGAAGTCCAAGTTATTAATGAGACCTTGGAAGTATATGATTAAGGATAAACAATAGACCTCTTCAAAAAACCCGATCTTAGGAGATGGAAGACGAAGACGAGAAGGTTTCGAGTTCATCTTCTTATCAGTAGCTTCTTGAGAAGAACTGATCATGTCAGATCTTCTTGGTGTGACATTTAGATCAGTGTCAGTAACTTGGTGAGGAGAATCTGCACTGTCCAAACTAATCTGACTATTAAGGTTGGATGTTGATGATATTGATGATATATTTTTTCCTGATCCTAGCCTGTCTTTGAAAAGGGTGGAAGAGGCTTTTGTGGAGGAAGAACGTTTGAATAACATGTCAACATGAGAGGTTGACTCTTTCTTTGCGAAGGAAGAAACACAAACAGATGAAGAAACAGTTGGAGTTAATGATGATGAGGAGGAGAAACGAGATGAAATACTGCATAAACTCCCAAAAGCAAATTTCTTTGCAGTTGTTGGTACTTTAGGCTGCTTGATTTTAAATTTCTCTTCTGATGGTCTTTGATTATTTGCTGCATGGTCTCTTTTTGAAACCGCTCGGGTCTTGTTCAAAAAAACAAGAAAGCAAGAAGATTCATTCTCATGCATAGAAATAGAGAACTGATATAAAAGACACCAAAAAAAGTCTGACATACCATTTTGCCGATGGTTTTAACAGATGTATTATCAGTTCTTATATGTGCATCTTGTTGGGAAGGTGGCTGGAAATTGGCACCTTTGTTTATGAGTGATAGTTCATCAGGATCTAAAACTCCTGCAAATTTTCCCATACATTATAAAAAGGCTTCCTTCACAATCACGTTGATCAAACCAAAAACAAAATCAAGCCAAAGTTAAAAACTCCTGATTGTTGTTAGTACCAGAACTGGTAAAGAAGGCGTTATCCCAAGCCAAACTCCTACGCAAGTAACTGGGTCTTCCAGACTGAGGCGGAAAGTTGCATTGTGTAGCACCATGATTGGAAGAAGAGTTTCCAAATTTGAAGCATTCGTTGTCTCCAAGTTTATCCCACGTCACTGCAAAATGAGGAAGAGGGCAAAATGGGTATTAACCCAACAACAGTATCCATCATCCAGTTCAGGAACAATAAGAACATAACACCAGCAGTTCTTGAAACCTCTTCATTCTCTAGGCTTCCAAATGGCAGAAAGACAACAATACAATATAATGAAATCTCCAAACATTCAAGCGAGTATAGTTATGTAAGTTGTGTTTAAGCAATTAAGCCCAAACCATTTTGACAAACTGGGTTTCTCATTTCATATATTATCTATATGTCAAAAAGAAAAAGCACAAAATATGTTTTCTTGGTGGTGTCTAATCCAGTGTTCTTGATAAAATTTAACCAGATTTTTATTTTCTGTGCAAATGTCATAAATATTGTTGCTATTTGCTAAAGCTGCAGTCTTTCTTCAAAAAATTGAGAAACTGGGTATGAAGCAACAAAGAATAATCAACCAGTAATATATACAGCACATAAAAGAGGAGAAACAGAGGAGCTGGTAACCAGAAAGTCTAAGATCTTCAAGAGATTCAAATAAAGGAGATGCGATGAGGAAATCATCCTCTGAAGATATATCAATCAGCTTCAGCCTTTCATCTCCAATATCATTGTAACTCAAACTCGTGATCTCCTTCCTTTCTTCCCCTTCATCCATTCTTTTACTCACAATCCCATTTGTTTGTAAATAAATGCTACAGCAAGAGGGCAAGAAAATGTTTGAATGTTATGTATGTAGTATGTACTTTAACTCCATAACCGATGATTACAGTATTACAGACTAAATCGGAGGGTAATTATTTACTCCGTATTATTTAAGGAAATTATAGATTTGGAATAGCCGCTGATTCTGGAATGGGAATGAAAATTAATGCGGCAAAAATACATACATGGCTGATCCCATTTTGATTTAAAATCTCAAGTGCTCGTTTTCTTTAGGGAGCTATTATAAATGTACGAATAAACATTGCGTTGACCAATAGTCAAATGAATAAGTAGACATTTGTTCACGTTTATAAAGTCTACTAAACCAAATTAGAAAAAAAAATTAAACAAAAAACAGACATGTATAAAAGTGTGTACACCAAAATAGTGTGTACAAAAAGTATTTTTGTTTTAGAGTACATTTAAAATAATTATACTTAATAACTTGTATTTCACATGATTTAGTGATAACAAATTGTAGTCGATTATTTTACCAAGTTGATAAGGTCATTATGTTGCAATGAAACTGATATATTTTGAATTTTGATGACTAACTTAAGTATGTGTTTGGTTTCTTGTTTATTTAGTAAAACCAATCGTATCAGATATGAACATGCTATTCGTAATCGTGATATATGTATTTAGTAATCATATTTAACTCATCAGCTTCATTTAATTACATGTATCAAAATGCATCAAATTTTTTGTTAGAATGACCACTGAATGGGTGCGGATCGTCCATTGAATTTGAGAGGCCAGGTTTCAAACATCAAGTTGATGCCTAATTGTATTTGCCTATTATTTGTGACTTTCGCAATGTGAAAGATTGAAGCCCCTTATGATTTAAAACCAAGCCTACTATAATAAAACACAAACCTGCATGTATACTTTTGAGTGTTTGGAGGACGTAGCTTATTTACAAAAAATTGACAGCAAAAAAGTTGACAACAAATAATTAGCCCGGCATGTATAGTCCCTTGAGAAATGACCTCGATCACAAGCCCGAGCGGCCGAGCATGTTAGTCAGTTAGTGTGTGATATTTTTTTTATTTACTTAACCGGCGGTTATAGCATCACGGCTGGCCTATACCCTTGAACCTTTCTCTTTTGAAAAGCATAAAAAATGATTTTATCTACATAGGAGGAAAAAAGAATTGAAGCATGTATTACATTTACTCTTCAGATGGAAACTTTTTCTAATTGGTGGAGGCCCCCAAAGCTTTGTGATGGTTGGGTCCCATGAACATTCTCCTTTGCTGATAAGTAGAACTAACTATTTGATTAAAAAAATCTTTTTTAACATTAGAATCAAAACCAGACCAGATGAAGTTTCAGGAGTAACAAAGGCAGATATGTGTGTCGAAAATCAGACCAGATACGTCTGCTCTGTCATCAAGACCTGCTTGCAGCTTCCTTGAACTGCGTGTTTTTCGAAACAACTCCTGCTCATAGAGTTCAGGGGAAAAACATCAAACAAGTGCGCACATTGGCAAAGACGCACAGTTACATATGCCAATGCTAATGTCTGTTGGCTGATTCTTTCAAAGGAACCCAAGAAAATAACTAACCTTTTCCTTTTCGATCCCTACAACCTGCACTTCCACAGCAACATTTGAATGCTTTGATGGGATGATCTAAATCATTGAAATCAATCCCATAATCCTGACATTGTAACACATGGGTTTTAAGTAGGTGTAACCCTTTTTGTACAGAGTAAATCTCAGGGAAAATCGAAAAACACAACCAAGGAGATAACTAAAATAACATAATCATCCCAAATATTTAATCTAAAATCTATCATTTAGTTCTATTTAAGAACATTGCGACAAATGATTTTTCAAAAGAGAACATTAGTAGGTGTGATTTTGTAAGATGTCATGATATGAAAAAAGGATGGTTAATGTAAATTTACATCAAAAAATTATAATTTTCATTAAATAATATCACACATTATTACAACTTAACATTAAAGTAACTCACCCATGTTAGCTCTTCTAATGCATTCACTTTTCGTTTTGTGAAAAATGCAATCTGCAAGGGATAGAAAAGGGTTCTCCCTTAGTATACAGCATGTAAAAGACGTGTAACATGACCACCTGAAATGACAAGAAATGAGATCAAACAAGCCACTTACATGATAGTAGTGATGGTCAGGAGTCTCAATCTGAACTGGTATCTCAATCAAATTCGAATCGAAGCACCTGAGTGAAACTCAGCATAACCAAAATGAATACACATCAAGATTTTGTTATAAACAGAATATTCTAAGAATTGAATAAAGGGCAATTGAAATGTTATGTGTGATCACCAATCATCACCACTACTAAGAAACTAAAATATAGACTTTAGAGCCCTCCAAAATCGTTAATTCAAACTGACCGCAAAACAACAAAATATCATATATTCTCAAGGCATCTGCATAAATAAAGTGACCAGTATGTTAAAAGCACCTGTGGTTTATGAATCGGCCAACATTTCCATAGTATGTTGCGTCCAAACAAAGTGCATCTTCATCCTTGAGAACTCCTTCTGAACCCCAATCAGCATCTAATAAGACAGGATACGTGTGCCTTTGATTCCTACCTCTTTCTTGATTACGCTCATACAACTCAATGTTGGTTAATATCTCCCCAATATACTCGCACACAAATGCTCCTTTTGGCAACTCCTCGAGTGTTCGAACACCCCAGCCCTTACCATCACTCGTAGAGAACACCTGAGTAAATATAACCCCTATTGATTAGAGGTGTGTATTCTATTTCTAGTATAATAAATTACTAGCAACATAGTATATTTTCCAACTTACATGGCTAGATATAGTGGTGCTAAAGGAAAAGAAAGAAAAAACATTAACTTCACATTTTAACGTTCTAGAATGATGACCATAGTGATTCAACTTGTTGAAATATATTGTGTTAGTGAGGAGGCTGTAGATAGAAGTATCCACCAAGTCTAAAAGTCTTCACAAGCCAAGGTTTTTTGTTTGGATGGATGGTTTTGAAGGGGTTTTGAGGGTTAGTCTATATGTTTGTAAGTTTTTGAGATTTTTAAATTGAGACATTAACATATTAATATGTGATCATGTGACAAACTTTTAATTATTTCTAAAACCATTTGATTTATATTAAGACATAGACTAAGCCCTCTAAAACTCCCCTCAACAGTGTGTGTGGAAACAGGTTGTTTGCATCATAAAGATTCGCAGGGAAATTTCCCGAAATAGGAGTACAAATAATGTAAAATTGTAAAACAGAAGTACCATATTTTTATTCCCTAAATAGGAGTAACTTCATGCTACACTATAGTTTTAGTATCATATTTTGGCATTGTCAGGCTTTAATATGGCAGCATTACTGCCATAACTGGCACTATTTTCTAAACATTTTCAATAATTACTCCTATTTAGATAATAAAAACACGGCGCTCCTATTTTGGAATTCTGCATAGTCTTTATTCCTATTTAGGGCAATTTCTTAAATTTGCACTGAAGAAATTTCAATTTAAATGTGAGAAGATTCTTGTTTCATCTTTGGAAAGAAATCCCAAAGAAGACATAACTCAAATTATCACAAAACATGTCACCTGCAATCTTCGTGTTATTCCTCTCTGTACAACACGGTTTCCACAACTCATATCGCAGCAACATTTTCTCCAGCATTCTTTGATAAACCTCCTTACTAGGTGGCCCTTGCACTTTTCTGGCCTACGAGTATTCTTAGCTCTCTCTAATGGGCAATCTTCACAGTAAAAACTGTAATGCTTCTGAGGTTCTTGATACATTGATATACAATCTCGAAGAAACTCTTCTCGGAGAATCCCTTCTGATGTGTAAGCGAATTCTCCTCCAGTTTCACGTGCACACGCACAGGGTACCGAGTGTGAGAGGCAGTCTCCTTCACACTTTCCACAACAATCATCATCGGCTATACGAGCCAGTGAAAACTGTACATATGCACTTTGATAGACTGTATTTTCCCTAATATAAAAAAAATTAGGGCTTCCTCCTATCCCAATTCTGTCCAGCAAAGAAATACGCACTGCCTCATTACCATTTGTTATATCATAGATCTTGAAATCTTTTTTCTTACCACGACTCATGGGTTGAGGTCGTGCAACTAAACTGAGTGAAGATGAAGAATTAGAGCTTGAAGCTTTTGTCATTGATTGTCTTTTAGATTGGTCCACTCTTAGAGATTCTCTATCGGAAAGACAACTGTTGGTGGATTTTTCCTCAAGAAATCTCACAATAGGATTATTAGCCAGTTCCAAATAACCTTCACATACATCTTTTAGTATCTTCCTTATAGATAACTGGAAGTCATCACTTTTACATGTAGTGTAATTGTCCTCCACCAATTTTAGAACGTCATTGATACTTGGACTGAAGTGGTTGGGTTGTGCAGAGAAACTATCACATCTTAGATAAAGTTTAACCCTTCCACAGGAAGACGAAACTATATCAGAAATACTATGCAAGTTGGTCCGGAAATCAAATGATGGTGAACCTACTTGGTTGATGGTTGTACGGCATTCGGTTGCATGATGTCTTGCAGGTTTGGGCTGTCTGGTAGAACTGTTATCCAATGTGTTTGAAACAACTGAATGAAACAACGGGGAGAAACGAGATACACATGTTACATTCATTCTGATAAGGCATAAACAATAAATATTCTTCAACTAGACACCCATTTAATGATCAATAAATATGAATCCACCTGGAGATATATTTGGAGCAAGACAAGTATTGGGCAGGATTTGATTAGATTCATCCACGAAAACAAGATCTGTTCCTCTATCCACCAATGAATTCTTTGGATTTGATCCAAACATTTCAAAATTTGAATGGATACTTCCATTGTCCATCGTTGAAAAAACCTGATCCTCATCCAAGGTCCCACCATTGTCCAAACATTTCAGTTTCTTACAAGGTCCCACCACATCCATTGTTCTAGAATGATTTTCATTGTCTGGAGGCTACCAATTCAAAATGTGGAGCATCAGATCATATCCCTTTAGTCCTAGAGTAAAGAGCACACACACACTCTCTCACTCTCATGGAAAGGAGAATTGACAAGGGATTTATAAAGAAATTAAAAAAACTAACAGGTAAACCTTATCCTCCGCATCTTCAAATATTGCATCTGCAAGCGTGCGATAATTATCCTCTTGTATGAGTTCCCATTTGTGACCATACAAATTTAGTAGCTTCCTGAGTACTGGTTTAACAACTGATGAATGAATGCCCAAGCTCTTCATAGCATTGAAGGCATCTACAACCCTTGGATCAGGCGCCATATAATTTATATGGAATGTTTTTGTAAAACTGATTAATCTCCAACACTGCATAAAAAAAAAAAAAAAAAAAAAAAAAAAAAAAAAAAACACTTCCTTAAACAAAAATCAGTAATACAATAGAAACAATAAGTCAATAACTAGTCAACAAAAAATCTGTCTAATACTACAGCATTGTCATTCTCTGATATACTATAGCACTAATAAAGTAATAAGCTGCTCCAAAATTATCATCACTAAAATACAGATATTACTTGCCAAGCAAGAAAAACTTAAAATTATGCACATTAGCTTGTAAGCAGCTTGAACAATCATGATTGACAAAATTGGAATGTTTGGGATGTGTTTGTGTAACTATTAATGACAGAAGCATAGCTTTAAGGGGAATGCAATTTAACTCAACAACAAAATCGTGAAAGTTGTACAGTTGAACTAAATACGGTGTAATCATATCACAAGTTCATGACAGAAAAAAAGTCACATTTCTAGGTTTTCACATGATAAGAAATAAGGATTTCATACGTTATTGAAGAGTCCTTATCAACGGGAGCTTGAAATCGGAAAGTGCAACGCCGCCGTCTCCGGCAGGAGCGAGGGAGTCGGCTACATATACTCCGACGAGTATATTTATGTGCGTTCTGATGCTTATGAAAAATGCAAAAAAAAAAATGGTTTCTTCTGAGGGTGAAGCGAATCGGCGCGGCGAAGGTGGCAGGGATAGTGCAACAGAATCAAAAACGAGGAGGGAGGTACATTTCAGTTAATAAAGTGTGCAAACTCTCATACGTGTCAGGCCATGATTGGCTTGGACTCTGGGTAAGTGGGCCGCACCGCAATTAAGTTGAATGGGTCGGAGTTCCGAAGCCAATCCAAACGGCTTGTAAATAGAAACAAGGAAATGACCCACTTACCGGTGGACGTAGCTCAACTGGTAGCGAAGGAGTGCCACAAGGGTTAGGTTTCGGGTTCGAATCCCGACAACTGCGATGAAGGGTTACTATGCTGAAAAATTCATAGGACTTCTGCAAGTACCGGGGACAGAGCCTAATTCTCTATTTGTCAGATTGTGATTATAGTCCAATTTACATCCTCCCATCGTGTCGTCCGGTCGGTGTTGGGGGCCTTATGGGGTGTCATCCTTTTTTTAAGGAAATGACCCACTTCTAAAAGCTTGTTTGATGATCTAATTTTTGTCTTTTTTGAATGGAAATAATCTATATTAAATCTAGACATCATATCCGTGCGATGCACAGGTACATCTAGATCTCAATAACAACTTATTCAAATTTACTTTTATTTTGATCATACGTAATATATTATTATTTTAAATAAAAGAATATAGTAGAGTTTATATTTTGTAACATTGATTACTTAATTGTAGTTTGTAGGAAAAAGGAAAATTTTGATCGTATGAAAAATTGCAAGTCAATTGACAATAAAGGGTAAAGTGTAAGAATAAGTACTACTACGTATTTGATGATGAAATACTATGACTTCACAATTTTAAGTGCTTCATTATATGGCCCTAAGGAACAAGGTGAAACATGTGCTTGGCAGTGGGGACCACACTTAAAGGGGGCCTCCAAAAATTTAGTATGTAGTAGTAGTTATAGGTTGATTTTTTTGAATGTTATGTACTATTCCATACTATCATCCGTCTCTTTTTAATCGCAACATGTTGAATTTTACACTATTCACATATTCTACTTTGACTACATTTTATATTTTTATTTTATAAAAATTATTTTTTTAAAATTATATTGTTAAATTCATCTCATTACAAATTTTCAAAATCTAATTTTTAAATATTTTTTACTAATAGGGATTAAGATATAATTACGGTCAAAGATGTGCGTTGGCAAGTGTGAAATGTTGACCGTTGCAACTAAAAAAGAACGGAGGAAGTATTTCAAAAGGTCTATAACTTTTAGATTGTCTAATTTGTGTACTTTAAACTTTATAAAACTTATACTACGTATTTCAATGACTTATCTAGTCTATTTGTATTTTATTATTAAATTTTGTATCATTTCTTGTTTTAAGAGCCTCAATTCATCATTTAGAACTGGGACCTCTAAATCCATTAGACGTCCTCCTAAGGAAGCTTTATAAAAATGAATTATCATATATGTCGGCATTGTACAAAAAGAAGCATAGTTTTCAGAAAAGTTCTTGGTCACAGCCGAAGCAGCGTTGATCCCTGGCGGGGCAGCAAGTCACTGATGAGTTGGTCATTGCGTTAGGTGTGGGGCATTGGTGTGTCACTATGGTCGGAGCCTATGTCATTATGGCCGCAATATGTGTCAATGTGGTCGGAAACTGTGACCAGAGTCACTGTGTCACTGTGACCGACATCAATGGAATCGGAGTCAATGTGTCACTAGAGGGTGTAACTATCACTATGTAACTGTCATTGGAGAGATGTAACTGTGATTTCAGTCACATTTTTTGAAAATAAAAATTAAAGGTCACTTTTTGTATTTTATCTTCTTTTTAGTACTCCCTCTGTTCCCCTATAATTGTTCCATTTTTTCATTTTCGGATGTCCCCTTATTATTGTCTCATATCATATTTAATAACATTTGTGTGACTCTGATTCATTCGTACTTTATTCTCACTTTATCGACTAATTATCAATCACATAATTTTACTAAAAATCACAGCACTCCCTCTCAGCTCGTCCCAACCACTCCCTCCCATCCAAAAATTAGGGGGACGGAGGTAGTAATATATATGGGGTCAAAACCCCTTCTAGAAATTCCGGCCTATTAAATAAAGGACAATGTTCAAGTAAGGTAGGCCTAAGAATTACAATTCTTAGGCCTCTTTCATTTGAGTTCTTCCGGGTTGAATTTTTTGATTAAATTTTGTGAGCATGTTTTCCATGAATTGTAGATTATGTCCACCAAGTTTCACAATAAAATTCAATCAGAAATTTGGTGGGCATAGTATACCTTTCATGAAGAACATGCTCACAAAATTTCATCAAAAAATTTGACCCGAAAGCACCTCAAATGAAAGAGTCCTAAGAATTACAATTCTTAACCCTACCTTTATTTTCCTTGAATAAATATACATATTAATATCACTGTAAAGTTATCATGCAGTATATAAAATCATAGGAGTGAAGTGAGAAAATATTACCGAAGTATATTAAAGGCTTTCTTTAACAAAAATGAATGGATTGTATCAATTCTATATTAAAAACATATAATTAATTTGAAGTATATAACTACAATGAATGGATAGTCGATTTTTGATTAGAAATTTAGAATTGAAGTTTAATATGTGAAATGTGAATGTTAGAAATTTAACGTGGATTACGTTTACAAAGTTCGCTCGATCATGTGTTTCAAACCTGCAAAAAAAATTGCACTATCAATTATTTTTAGATTTTTATACACTTAACAATGGAGTATATGAATGCTCACTTTCATTTTCTAAAAAATGCTTTACATAAGAATACGCATAATATACTACATTCATTCTTAAATAAGTGTAACATGTTAAATTTAGGCTAAAGGGTCAAATAGGCCCTTGAACTGACTTAAAGTGTTCAATTAGCCCCTTATATAGGAGGTTCCGGCCGGTCGTTGCCAATTGGGGCAGTTCACGGTGGAATGTTTTGATGAAATTTTTTGAGCATCTTCTTCATTAAGTCTAGTTTACTCATACCAAATTTCAGCTAAAAATTCAACCGGGAAGGCAGTCAAATGATTTTTTGAAGATAACTGTGAAGTTAAACAGCGCAGTACATTTCGGAAAATCATTTGACTGCCTTCCCGGTTGAATTTTTAGCTGAAATTTGGTATGGGTAAACTAGACTTAATGAAGAAGATGCTTAAAAAATTTCATCAAAAAATTCCACCGGGAACCGCCCCAATTAGCGACGGTTGGGCAGAACCTTCTATATAAGGGGCTAATTGAACATTTTAAGTCAGTTCAAGGGCCTATTTGACCTTTTAGCCTTAAATTTATACTACCTATGTTCTTAAATAAACGCAACATTATTCATATGTTGTACTTTGATTACGTTATATTTATTAGTGTGTAGTATTAATAAAATATTTTGAAAAAAAATTGTTAAATTTGTCTCATCTTAAATTTTTTATTAGAATTTGAATTTTTTAATTTTTTTACTAATAAAGAATTAAATATACTAATGGTCAAAGTTGTGCATCGACAAATGTGCACGAAAAGTGGACTATTATTGCATTTATTTTAGAACAAAAGTAGTATTATTCAAAACTTTGACTTTATTTTATTTATTAATGTATTAATAATAATATATGTCACTCTCAAGTAGTCTCGACCATTGCAGGGGATGCCTGCTGAAAACATTAATTGTTAATTGAACTGTGTTTTTTTAATAAATTGAAGGTGTTCCCCCAAAAAAGTATTAATGACTAGTTGTGAGTCATTGATCATCTACTAACAACTTATCACTTTAAAATAAATTATATTGACTCTTATCCAGTTATTCGTATATAATGAATAGTCATGTTTTTGTTCAAGACTCCGTATTAATGGTATTATTTCATTTACTACGTATAAGGATCAGATGTTTTACCGTGGATTGTTTTCAGTGTCAGATCAGACCAGACTTAGATCGTTATAAAATATATAGAGACCAGATCAGACGAGTTCAGAACAGATCAAATTAGATGGGATCAGACTAGAAAATTTAAGTCCAAGTATAAACGTCATCTTTCATTGCACAAAACCATTTGCACCGGAGGGACCTAGCTAGAAAAAATAGTCAAAGTTGACCGGCCGGAACCTGGTCGGCCGACGAGTGAGTTCTTCTATAAAGATTCTTATTATTATTATTCCTCCCACTACTTCCAATAAGCCTACAGCTACCATTACCGTCGTCTTCCGTCACTGGAAAAAATTCATCCTTTGTTTCTCCGGGCGCTTCAGCCCGAATAATACAAGCCTCAAATATGGAGCTCCTGGCAACAGGGTAATCGTCACCGTCACCTCCGAAGAAGTCCCCAGCCGCGAACGATGAAGCTGACGGTGGCTGGTGGTTTGTCACATTGGTATTCGGCGATACTGAGAACACCTCATTCTTGTTCTTTTGGTTCCCATATCCATCTAGCACAGGCTCTACTCGAACAAAAAATAGAACAACATAATCAATTAATCATTTCAATATATAAGGCCGGCTAGAAAATGACTCCCGTTTTAAAAATACTCCGTATTTGTTAAATCATACTCGTAAATATTACTCTCTCTCGTTTAAAAGTTCTCATGCTTTTATGATGTTTGAGTGTTTGACTAGTCACAAAGTTAATGGATTTCTATCGTTACATAAATTATTTATGGTAAATAAAATTTACATACTCAAAAAGTACATTACAAATTTTTTTAAGTTGCAAAAAGAAAAGAGAAATTACTCTTAATAGGATTAAAAACGTGTGTGTATTCCAACACATGGTTATCATGTTTCTATTCCTTAAATAGAAGTAAAGAGTAAATATATTCATTTTTTGGCAATACTAGACTTTAAAGATAGACTATTTGTCAAACTTGAAAGTAATTACTCATATTTAGAGAATAAAACTATGACAGTCCTATTTTGAAATTCTCAAACATTTTTACTCATATTTCAGAAATTTTCCGAAAAGAAAAATCAAATTTGATATAAAAAAAATTGGGCATACAAAGTAAAAGATTAAGAACAATTCACATTAACTGGAAAACAATATGTGGAATGTGGAGTAAAAAATAATTAAATTTCTATATGTGGAATGTGGAGTATTCTAAATAATTTCCTATAAAAATATAAAACTGATTGAAATTAAACTTAGTTAACCAAAAAATTAAAGATTGACAAAGTTTTAAAGAATGAATACGTGCCATTGTGATTCTCACCACCGGCGGTAGGCTCTGGTCGTGGGACGTTATTGTCTTTCAAACGTACACCGACGTTCAGAATACCCTGCAAATGCCCTGTTGGACGACAAAGGCGGAGGGTGAGGGGCCGCATGGCCGGATTCTTTACCGAAAGGGGAGGGTAAACGCCGCTTACAACCAGGCTGGCGGTGCCCACAGGGAGGTCACGCAGCCAGGCCACATTGTAGATCTCAAACTTTATCTCCGACGATTTCGAACCCAGAAACTTGTCGTCCACGTGGAGCTCGAATTTGTGGTTCCACGTAGGGTTTGTGCCGCCGTGCCGGTCGACCGCCGTCTTCGATATCGTGTCGTGACCCGTGACGGCGACGGCGTACGTGCGTAACATTCTGGAAATGGGCGGGAGGTCGTGGGCGGATATTACTTTGACTTCCAGGATCATTTTGGGTGGCTTATTTGTGCGATTACCCAGCTGGCTAGCCCGGAATGGAAGACATGACCGGGAAACGCCGGAGAGGAGAGCTCGCCGCCTCGCCGGCTTCCGGTCCGAATTGAAGAAGGTGGTTGCCAAAAATTAAATAGGAGTTGAATGGGGAGAGAAAGGAAGACATATATCCAGCCATCCAGGCATTAATTAATGAATACTCCCTATGATACCCTTTCAGTTAATCATTTTTTATTTTTCAAATCAATGAAATTACACTTTGACCGATGATATAGGAGTATATTTATAATATGAGAATGATAACAAAAAGGGAAAAATAATTAAAATACCATAAACTTTGAAAGGGTGTGAGGTAATTAAGCATCCCAAATTTGCATGTCTAATTTAAATACCTCAAACTTTGGAATTCTATCAATTCAGGACCCGAAAGATACAAGAATTATTAATTCGAGACCTAAAAGATGAAATGTATTGGTATATGACCCGAATGATGAAAAACTATCAATCTAGGATCTAACATTTCATAGGTTTTGATTTATTTATTTTCTTATTAATTCCATTGCTAACATTTGATGATTTTTTCTTCACAAAAGTTTATTAGTTTAATAAAACTAAATAATATTTAATTTTTTGAAAATAAAAAAATCAATAAATCTATGATAATTTAGATCCTATATTGATAGTTTTCAATCCTGCAGGTCCTAGATTGATAGTTTTTCATCATTCGGGTCCTATATCGATACATTTCATTTTTCAGGTCCCGGATTGATAGTTGTATCTTTCAGATCCTGAATGGATAAAATAAATATAAAAAATTATTTTAGCACCATGATCATATATTATTTCTTTAAAAAATGTTAGTTTTTGGTGTTAATTTCATAAATTAAAATATTTTAGCATTCATGAAGATACAATTCACATTCTAAACTTCTATTATAAAATAAATAATACTACCCTCACTCTATATAATTGCATCATTTTTTATTTGTTATTTTAAATTATGCAATTAACATCATAAATTTACATTTTTGAAAAAAATAATATATTGTCATGGTGCTAAAATAACTTTTTATATAAAGTTTGAGCTATTTAAATTACATATGAAAGTTTGGGGTGCTTATCTCACACTTCTTCAAAGTTTGGGGCATTTTAATTAATTTTCCCTAACAAAAATGTTATATGTTAAAATTAATATCATAACAGTTTAAAATTATTAAGTTTTACTCAAATATACTCCCTTCATCCCTTGAAATTTTTTCATTTTAAATTTCTTTGATCAACCATATTCAACTTTCATAAATTATACTATGTGTATTTTATAGGGATAAGGTACATATATACCCCTATAGTATAGGTGCATGAACAAATATACTCATGTTCTATTTTTCGGAACAAATATACCCCTGGACTTTGAAAAAGGTGCAAAAATATCCCTCATGTTTTTATAAAGGAGCAAATTAATCCTTATTAACTTTAAAGTAATAAAATAAATTTCCAAAAACACCAAAAAATTAAAAAATCGAAATTAAAATATAAAAAAATAAAAAATTTAATATTTTTAGTATAAAAATATTATTTCAAAATTTTACTATATATTTAAGATTCTATCGAAAATGTGCTAACATATATGTTGCAATGTAAAAAAATTATTTTTTCATTTTTTGCACTATAAAATTACATATTTTGTATGATGATAAATAGACCAAAAATTACAAAATAGTGAATTTATATACTAAAAATATTTAATTGTGATACAAAAACGAAAAGGGAGAATCGGACACAATTACATTTTTTATTTTTATTTTTTATTTTAATTTCGAATTTTTATTTTTTTGGTGTTTTTTGAAATTTATTTTATTAATTTTAAGTCAATAAGGATTAATTTGCTCCTTTATAAGAACATGAGGGATATTTTTGCACTTTTTTCAAAGTTCAGGGGTATATTTGTTCCGAAAAATAGAACAAGACTATATTTGTTCCTGCACCTATACAATAGGGGTATATATGTACCTTTTCCCTAATTTATAATTAAGAAGTTATTTGTAATATAAAATTGAAATGAAAATACTACTCGTATTTGTTAAAAATGGAGAAAATGGTCAAATAGGGATCTTCTACTATTACAAAATCGTCACATAAGATCATGTACCCAATAAGTGTCATATAAATATGTTTACCTATAAAAAGCAATCAGTTGAGTCCTAACGACCCGTTGACAACCTCTCAATCCCAATTTAGCTTACATGTCATTATTTTTGCCTTGTATTTCAACCAATTTTAGCTAAATATTTCACGCATGCCTTATAATCTATTCTAAAAAGATAGTGAGATATACGTAAAAACCGGGATTATGAGGTTGTCAACAGGTAAGACAAATGGGACATTTTAAATAGGGACGGAGGGAGTATAAGCTAAAAACTAGAATCTGATTTTTTATTTTTCTATTACACAAAAACCACATATGTTACTAAACACTATCAACTTTTACTTTTCAAAATTATTTTTTCTCAAACACTACCAACTTTTACTATTAAACACTTTTTCCAAAATTACTTTAAAACTCATTTTTTTAGTTAGTCACTAAAGCATCATCATTAGATATACGGACTTATAGAGTATGTCACGAACAACTTTATTCTAGACTTTTTAGTCTTTATTTTTTTTTAATGAACGGTGTTTGAACCAATCAATATGACTTTTTTTATTTGAAAAGAAGGAAAGTACATAGAGTAGGAGGGCTAGACCAATGCCTACTCAGAGGAAAATACATGAGGATAATTAATTAGTAACATCAAATTTTAAGATATCAACAAAGGGATTAAAATGGTGATTCCTTGTACTAATAGAAGTGATCTTATAAGCTAAAAATTCGGTTGCGCAATTGATCTTTGGACATGTGGGTAATCGACCAGTTGTAGGCATTGATCCTTCTCTTGATTTCCTATATCCGAGGCCAGCATCTTCAGTGTTGTGCAACCAGACATGTTAGTCCTTCATAGCTATCCCTATTATCCAGCTCAAGAATAAAATTATTCGAACTTATATTTTTTATATTGAGAATAGTTTCTATGATGACATCATAGGTGGTTAATGTGGTGTCACTATTGGGGAGTAATTGAGGTCATACTGCCCGTGTGTTTTCCTGATGCGTTGCGAATAAGCGTGGCACTTCTAGCAAGTTGGGGGAGTGAGGAGACAGACGAGTTGAAATGTTGATGATCTTATGGTAGTTAGGGGGCGTTTTTTCCGGTAGTTAAGCTGAACGCTAGCATTAACTTTTCTGGGCAACGTAGTGCAAATGTTGAAGTGTTGAACGAGTTGTGATTTTGAGTAGTGGTGAAGGGTTTCCAATTCGTAATGGCAAAGATATCAATTTTCATAGCCTTTATCATCTCCGGAAGAAAGGCCTGTTTGTGATCATGTATGAACTTATTTCCTATCTTCCGAAGGTTCCAAATAACCATATTTGGAAAAACATAGTTTAGATCAGCAAAATCCCTGAAACATTTATACCAACCAAGAATATAATTCTGAATTTGTAGTTGAAAATAGTTTCAAAATGGTCTTCCCGAACCGCTCTGCTAAGTGGTCAATGGTATCAATGTTCGGGCACAAAGGGCATTTGAAAGGACCGTAGATACCAATTTGCCGGAATTGGGCCATAAAGGAAGCAAAAAAAATTTCATTTTCTAAAAGAAAAAAGGAGATTGTTTTTGGGATCCTGCTATTCCAATAGAAAATAGAGTTGGTATCAGCGGTCATTTTTGGCATTGTGACATCATAGGCACTAGAAAAATTGAATTTGTCATTCAAATTCGGCTTCCACAGATATCCATCGTCAATGTTATTAAAATAAAGCTTGGTAGCATTGATGATTTTTACTCTTTCTTTATCCTTCTAGTTTTAGAGTAGAAACCATAATATCAATTTAAAAGACCTTTGAGGATAGTATTCATAAACCCCAATTACTCCATTTGGAGTGATAAAAATTACTTCATTCATGGTTTAAATTGAGTAATCACTATTATGTTTCAAAATGAGAAGCTCGGGTAGGATATAACTTGTACCTGCAAAGGAACATATATATTCAGAGAAGTCTTCAAGTAAATACTAAATATGTCTCATTTTATGTGTCTTCTTTTGGTTTGGCACAATTATTAGTCAAATGGTTGAAAAAGTAAAAATCATAGTTGAAATTTAAGTATAATAAAATGAAATCTTAGGGATGACGTATATCTTTCCAAAAAATGAAATTTGAAACTTATTTTAAGACAGCCCAAAAAAGAAAGTAAAACAAGTAAAATAGGTGGGAAAGAATAGATAAATTATAAAAGTGAGAAGATATACCTTTGAAGCATAAATAATTAATTAATACAGAGTTTGCACAAATTTTTATAAACAGTATATTTTTTGTAGGTGACTTTATCATTTTTATTAGCACTTAATTTTTTTTTTTAAATTTTAGTCCACTTATTCTCACATCGGCGAACAAAGTCCGTTCATATTTTGACGCCGCTAACTCTTTCGGCCACCACCGTAAAACGCAACATCTCCAAACCTCCACTCTGTCTCGAGAAACTCCCCAATGAAGTCACCGGCATCCCTACTCCACCACCTCCGCCTTGTCCAACGCGGATGCATCTCCTCTGACAAGGCCACCACGACCACCACTCTAATACTCTTATTTGCCTTCTTACTCCTCATGGCACCGCCATCATCTTTAGATACTATGCCATGCAAGTGTGATGGTGCTCTGAATGCCATCACCTAAAACGTGACTCCCATCAACGTCCCCAAGACAATATTCCGATCATGGAAAAAACATCTAAGATTATTGTTTTGGCACTATTTTTTAGTATTTATTATTGAATTACTCAATTAATATTGAGGGTTTAAAGAACTTCACAATACAACATTCGATTCACTATTACTCCGTAAAATATAAGCTCGACTACCAGTACAAACAGACCTTGTGAGTTGTGATTCAAAAAAATAGTGTCCCATTTATACAGTTCAAAAATAGTCTCCCATCAAGCGCTCTCTAAATGCAAGGCGCGGCCACAGTTTCCGTCATAAACTATGTAATGTTCTCTGGATACAATTATTTTACACTCAAACACTCAGCATACAATTTCTTCCCCGAACTAGGGATGGTCAGCTCCGGGTTCATGTCATTAAGAA